TATATATACTCTATGTTTTTACATTTAACTTTGATGTATTATTAATGCAGAAAGTTTTATACTATAATTATAAGTAATTATTATTGTTATGAATTTTAAGATAGTTAATTATAAAAGTTAATATACTTATTATAGGTAATATAAATGGTGACTGGATAATCATATAAAATTTCTTTATATTATGGATGTATACATTGTTCACTTTATTTTTTAACATATTAATTCTTTTATAAATAAAAAAGTAAGTGATAAATTATTTTTAAAGATTAATAAAGTAAGTATAACTTTTTGCTTATACCATGGTACATTATTAAAGCTGACTCAACAAATTTTTTAGGGGGTGGGTGGTTTTTCTTGAATTTGATACATAGCAAGTTCTCAGTTAAGTTCCATCACCCCAAAGGTAGTACAGAGTGCCTTTCTAGCTACTTGCAGTGGAAGTGTGGAACTCTCTGTGATGCAAATTTAGGAAAGGATATCATGGCTTGTTTCAAACGTTATTGATGGTTAATTATGAATGTCATTAATTATAGTTGTCATGGAATAATGTACACTTAATCACAAGTAGTGCTCAATGAAGAAACTACAAAGATCCACTGGATCAGTAGGGAATATCTTTGTCTTGATTTTCTCTCCTTGTGCACTCATGCAATGGTGGCTTTTGCATCAAAAGCTAGGGTGTGTAAGGGAATCTTGCGATAGAGAATAACCTATCTGGATGTAATCAGTTGCTTTAAATTTTCATCATTTCCATATCACTAACTTTATTCTATTTTTGACAAAAGCGTATCATTTTATCGATGGAAGATCCGTATAATATATATATTTTTTAAATACATGGAATTTAATCGGGATAAAATTTAGACTTAGTATTTCAAGGATTTCTATTAGTGCTTTCTGAGTCAAAATTAAATTTTTCAATAGTGCAAAACAATGATACAACAACAGAATTTAATGTCGTCTACTATCCACCCAACATAATAAGTGAGGTGGTAGCAAAATGGTAATATTAGACAATTTTTTATGTCGATTATTTAATCGATATGGAAAAGACTTTCTCTATCAAATGTTAAATTATTTGACATAAATGTCCTTTTTATGTTGGTTAAATGTGTCGACATAAAAAACCTTTCAATAAGCACGAACAAATCATGTCATAGTATTCTCATTTTCATTCTCTCATTTCTCCTACCTTTCTAATCCTTTCAGCGATGACACAAAACCTCTCGCTCGCCTCCTTGCACCCTTTGGTGACAACCTTTGTGATGCTTAATTGGGGGTTCTATGGTGCATATAATTTGGGGTTGGTTTGGAGTTGGATAGATGATTTGGGTTTTTTTGGAAGGGTTTTGGGGAAGAAGTGTGACATACTTTATTCTATATGCACTATAACAAAATTTAGTATTACCAACAATTATTTAATGACAATAAATTAAT